TAAAATGCAGTCTTAATTTAGATTTTATCCCATATTTTTGGTCGGCAAGCTGCAGAGATCTCATTATAAAATAATAATAATAATAATAAAAAAAAAGACCCTGATGTGATTGATCTCCGGCCTTGATTTAGATTCTTCCTTCGTATGCTATTTTTGTTAGTTTAACATTTTGGTGGGATAGGGATTCTAACTTTTAATTTTGTTAAAGTTATTATACCTCAATTTAGTTGATTCTTCAACCCTGCTTAAACTATCTATTTCGTAATTTGTACGTTAAATCTTTGAATTTTACCTAAAGAAGTATTTTCATCATTATCATTTGATTTTTTTAATACAAACTATATTTAACATAAATGTTTTTAATTTCCCTAATCAATTGTTAAGAATATTTAAAAAAGATCATTAAATGAGTATTACTTTCTTGGATTGACTTTTTAATATTTAAGAAAGATTAAAGATTAAAAAACACATTTGTTCCTATACTTTCATTAAAGTAACGATTTAGTCTTTAAATTTTTAAAATAAATGATTTGGTACCTATAGTTTTAAGAAGTTAACAAATCACTGCCATTAAAATTTTGTTAAGATTTAACAGAAAATACGTTGTAGGATGCCAGCTGGATCTATATGTGCCACCTATGCAGACTTTAATAAAAGAAATAAGAAAGAAAAAGCCAACAGTCCCATCCTTCCAACCGACTACTAGCTTCACCGTCTGGCTGGGGAAGATGGTCAGCCTCACCATTTTAGCGGAAAATATGAGATTCAGAACTGCCTCAGGGGAGTCATGGAGGGGCCCAAGGCGGTGGAGATAAGACTCAACGCTTCGCAGAGGATGAAGGTGGTGGCTGACGGTGAGTTATCCGACCAAAATTTCAGACACTTTACCAACCAGATTAGGAACGTATCTATCAATTTCTGTGGTCGGACTTCCGAAGTTTCTCCATCCACATTATAGAAAATTACCATTCCATTTTCTCCCTGACCATGGTTGCCATTCTCTTTCTTTATTTCATTGCAAAACTCTGTAATTTGGTTAAGAACATATCTTAAATTTCTTTATGAAAGTGTGCTTTTAGGGACACCGATAGAGCTCCATTGTTTTTCTGTTGGCCATCATCCATTAGTGGCTTCTTCTCCGCGCTTGGTTTGATCTCTGTCTTGGTGGACGCAATTGTGGCTCGTGATTTTGAGGCGTTGAAAAAATGAGATTCTGATTCTCGTTGTTGGAATATTGAAAAAACCCTCTTCTCTTCAACCTTCCATCTCTAAATTACCCAAAAAAGAAAAAAAAATTAAGGAAAAAAGAGCCTTCAGATCTATTTGTAAGGAAGAAAATGCTAAAACTGAAATTATTGAAGAGTTCCAGAGATATAAGTTGGGGTTGTAAGCTTCCAACAAAATAAAAATAAAAATGAATAAATAAAAAATAAGCGATGAATTTAGAAAGAATTTAAAAAACAAATAAGAAGAAAAAATTATGTGTCATAATTTGGTAGAGAAAACTCAGCTCAAATCTTAAATCCTAACAGAATCTGCAAAATCTTGATATTATTCTACGCTTAGTTTTTCTTGGCCACTAAACAGCATGAAACCAACGAACAAAAAGAGATTGATACCTTCGAAGGAGTCACGAAGCTAGCCATTCTTCCGCTGTTCTCGAACACTCATCCGCGGCAGCCGGACGGTGGGTACTGGGAGATGAGAGTCCACGTTATTGTTTTATTTTATTTTTTATATTAAAACCTGCATACGTG